AACGATGTCGATATCAACATGTCAACATTTTTATCCAATAAATGAAACGATTCGTTTGTTCTCAGCTGCACCGACGCAGTAAACATGCTGATATTTACAGATAATCTCCAACACTCGGCTTATGATGTTTAAATATTCTGCACATTGTTCTCAGTCATCGTAAAGAGCTTAGAAAGAAAAGCATCTGGACTTCTGCAAGCTTCTTGTTTCCACACCTCAGCTCGTGTGATTAGGTAGAGGATCATTAAGCGCCTTGAAGCGACTGTTTTGTGATTTGGCGCTATATATAAAAAAAATTGAATTGAATTGAATCATTAGTGTTAGTGTGCTCTGAGGGCCTCTGGATGTCTGGAGTTTTGATCTCCTCCATACCTGCTTCACGCCCTGGAGGACGGGGCTGTGGCCCCCCCACACCCTCTAGCAGATCATTACATGAAGGAACCTTTTAAAAACAAGCGCGTCCATGCTCACAGGTGTACACACGGGTGATCACACCCACAAACTACACCCTTTTTGGCTCCTACCTCAAAGCACACTGTGTTCTGTTGATCTTATGTGCTGCACAATAATGTTTAACATTTAGTATTTACTGTCATATTCCCATATATCATTGTGATGTTGTTTATTATGTTGCTCTTTTGTTTTTTCCTTCTGCTTGTTTTTTCTTTCTCAACAGGTGATCGATGGATGTATTTTTTGTCTGCTTATTTTGTTGGTTTTTGTTTTCTGCCCTTTATCGCCGTCCCTCTTCCCCGCTGTTTTTCTTTCCCTTTTTCTTTTCCCCAGTCAAGTCTGTCCCGTATTCAGTAAGTGAAAATAAAATAAACAATAAAAGGTGAATCAAATGGACCATTACGGCAAGGCTGGGATGGTCCATTTGGTAAAGTAAATCCGTTGGGCATCTTTCTTTGCCTTTAGACAACAATTCTGATGCAAAAGAACCAAACGGGACAGGCCAAAAATAAATAAAATAAAAAAATGAATTGAATCATTAGGGGGTCCACGTCCCCCCTGCGGACACTCCCACAGGGCTCTTTAGACTGTTCTGCACATTGTGTCGTTCTTTCTCTCAGGACTCGATGCAAATATTACCATCAGGTGAACATGCGTACTTATGCCACCAGCACGAAGCACAAACGTCTCATTCATGTTTAATGAGTTTCGTAGCCTTGAAAGTAAATCACATGCATCTGATCATCCTCCCTTGTTTCCTCTGCCCTTCTTCTCCAGCTGTGGGCCTGCCTCTGGCTCTCAGCAGGCTCCATATCAGCTGCTGCAGAGGCTCTGCTGTTTGCTGTGGATGGTGAGGTCACGGCAAAACACCAGACCTTTTAATCTGTGCTCCCGGCTCCACGAGGCATCCGTTCATCCATCCATTTCTGGAAGTGAGCAGGACAGCAGGGGGACGAGCAGAGAGGTAAACCTGACACTAGAGGGCGCTGGTGATTCAGCAGTGGTGTGCGTACCGCAACAGAAATACATTTCTGACTGGGCAGCAAAGAAAAAATGTTTAAGGCAAATTAAAATTCCTTCATCCACGTTTTAAATGTAAAGATGCAAAAAAGGTTCTTTTCTAAAACTGCATTACAGTCAAGCGACTTTGAAAAATCCGATGAAATTTTAAGGTTAAAAGACGTCTTTCTCATTCAGCTCAGCGTTTTGTTTTTTGGGGTTTTCCTTCCCTTTGACGAAATTCCCATCACTCGTTCAATAAAGTGTGAGAAAGGATGTGAGACACTTTGATTTACTTCAACCACTCAGTGAAATGAAACGTTTACTTTTGCAACCAGGCGACATTTTCATGAACTCATTATTTGCCATTCTGGGTGTCAATGTTGCCGCCATATCGTTACGGAGCAGCTTTTGGAAGTGCTTCTGTTTGCTTTTTATTTCTGATGAATTGTCTGTTTTTCCACGAGCCCCCCATTAAACAAAACAAAAACAGGAAACATGCCCTCGTGATCCTCTGAGCGCTGAAGCTAAAATCGTTCTTTTTGACCAATAATATTGCAGGTTTCATGACCTGTTCTCCACATGCCATCAAACATATTATTCAGATGAAAACAACTGACCGGTGGAGTTAATAAATCTTTATTTAAACCAGAGCAGATAAAAACATTAAGGCAGATGAGCAGCGAGCGCTGAGCTGCGAAATGGAACCGCAGGATTTAACTACACAAGCGTCGCTGCGTTAATAAAAACAATAGAAAATTATAAAGCCAGAGAAAACAACGACACACAATGTGACAAAGAACCTGTGTGTGTGTGTGTGTGTGTGTGTGTGTGTGTGTGCGAGACGATGAAAGAACGGGTACTTGCACGTTTTTACACATTTACTTGGTAAAACAATAAAGTGCTGTTACTGTCGACCTTCGGGGACCGGCGGGAGGTGCAGACTACAGCCCGTTTTCATTTCCCATCAGCTGCCTCGTGCGTTAACTTGGTGTTTGCAGTCCAACATGCACCACCGCGCACGACACTTCTGTTTTTCAATGCGAGGATTTGAGACGTGAACACAGCAATAAATTAAAAGTCTGAATGCTCCCAGCTGCTTATCAGCAACAGTTTACTGTTAACCAGATGGTTAACTAGCACTGAAACAGGCAACACTGCCCGGTGAGCAACATCATTAGGATGGGCGCTCTGTGACCTCGCTGTTCTGAACAAAACATGAAACTCTACGTGTTCAAATGCTGGACGCGTGGGCAGCTCGTCCGTCCAGCCCTGAGAACACGTGGTGGACTTATTGTTGTTCAGCGCTGCCCCAAGCTTCCTCACAGAAACCGGAAGAGTTCAGCCTGGAGGCAAATCTAGGCCACAAAGGATTAGCTTTGGTGTGGGCCGCTTCAAATGGACCAAAGAGATTATTTCACACGACTGAGACCAAAACACTGCTTTATATTCTTCTGATACTTTATATGATATTGACAATAAAACTGGAAGTCGGTGCAGCAGTTTACTGAAACATGCAAACATCATTAGAAATATAGTATTTAAGGAACAAAGAGACTTGGTACAACTTATAGGTCGATATTTGATATCGTTAACTTTATTGGTCTCTTAGGTGAGCTGTAGTTTCTCTACGTAGTCTGCAGGAATAGTTCTCCAAGCTTCTTTAAGGAGATTCAAAGCTCCTCTTTGGATGCTGGCCTTTCCTTTTTTCACCAGTCAAAATGATCCCAAACTGCTTTAAGAGCGCTGAGATCTTTTTTAAGGATATGCTGCACACCAGGTTTCAGTTAACAGTGGATCAACTGAAGGGCTACATCTGTGCGGTCACGTATCAGCTCTGGATTTTTTGCTCCACGACTGTCAGATATGTTCATCTGTGGTAGATCGTCTTTTCTACTTCACTTTTTAAGGGGCCTCAGTTTTCTAAGGACATGCTGCACACTACGCCAGGCTTCAGCTGAAACACCTCAGAAATCACCTTGCTGGTCTGTTTTATCGGAGGTGTTTTTACCAGTGATAAAGTCCCCAAAGACAGTTTTCTGTTATGTGCAGACACAGCGCTGGCTTGTCTTTGAAATTAGGGGCTTTTGTGATCGAGTCACTCACAGGAAAGTGTTGAGTGGCTCTGAAAAGGGTCTGACACAAGGACTGGTTGGAAAATGTGTCCAAAGACTAAAGACCCAGTTAACAATATAGAAGAAAGCAAATGCTTCCTTGGAAGCAGAACATCATGAAACATCATGAAAGAAGCTTTTTGACTGATCTGCATGTTTGTAAGGAAACAATCCCATTTCAGGGAAAAATGTTTATTTAATTTTGTGAGATGCTAAATATGAAGCTACTCTCTTAGCCTAGTGTAGCACAAACACTAACATGAGCTAGCTGATCACATGATCCTCAGATCACGTGATGTGTTCATTTGCCAGGATCAAAGGTGTGTCTCCTGTGCATGCTGATCCTACACCAACCTGCTGCAGTTTCATTTGTTTTAGACGCCACGATGAATTATTTCATTTGACAAAGCAAAGCTAAAGTCCCAAGATTGCAAAGAACTCATTTCAAACTCCAGACAAGTCTTCATATCTGAAACATCGCACCTGCTGGGTTAAAGGAGCAGTAAGAAACGCTGAGACGGCACTGTCAGAGCTTCCCCACAACTGTGCACAGAGACAGGGGGCAACGCTCGCTGCCTTTTACGTCTAAGTGCAAAAACATTACCCCCGATAAAAACAAGAAAATACAAGAACTCAATCGAACACAGCGGCTGAACATTTGACTTCCAAACGCGTGTGTGTGTCTGTGTGGACGGGTATTAACATCTTCATGGGGACCAAAAATTGGTAGTTTACTATACTTGTGGGGACAGACAGCCCTCGTGGGGACCAAAATCCCGGACCCAGGAGTGTGAAAGAGACTCAAAATGTGGTTTTAGTGTCAGGGTTACAATTAGGTTATGGTCAGGGTTAGGGGAAGGGCCAGGCATTCATTCTTCATGGTTAGGCTAAGCGGCTAGGGAAAGCATTATGTCAATGAGATGTCCCCACAAGGATATAAATACACGTGTGCGTGTGAGAGAGTGTGTTTGTGTGTGTGTGTGTGAGAGTGTGTGTGTGTGTGAGAGTGTGTGTGTGTGTGTGTGAGAGTGTGTGTGTGTGTGTGTGAGAGTGTGTGAGAGTGTGTGTGTGAG